TCCTCGGCTTTTTTTCTGGGGTTGTTTATACTTCTATTTAATCTTTTTATTGCCTTTTGATTTTCCAAGAGCTGTAAGTGCAGAGGTCTCTCAGCTCTGATTAAATCTAAAAACCATGTCAGACCTGCTATGAGACGTGCAATTTTAATACCATCATCACAGGAAGATATGTCTCATTTGGCAGTCCCTTCCTCAGAACTGGGCTACTTGTGCTGTTTCTGTCTTCTATAACTACGTTAGCAGTTTTGACTCTTGGGGAGCAGTCTTGAATGTGCACATGCCTGTTGTAGACTGCTCTGCCTAATTTTAGGAATTGTATCTCTACCCCTTGTGGCTAAGGGCAAGAGACGACCTTTGGAATGCCAGCCACAGGAGACAAAGCCTGTCTCTGGTAGCAAACGCTGCCTCAGTTCCTCTCCCTGCCCCCAAAGCCTGGTTGGAAGTCAATGACGGGTGAGACCCCTCACAGTGGGGGGCAACCTAAGCCAGACTCATCACTTGGGAGGCTTTCATGGAAGGACTGGGGGGGGCTGCAACAGAGAGCAATGGACTCTCACCCCCCCCCCACCCCCCGCCCAGCTTTGACAAAGCCCGAGTCCCCATGTCATCTGGGAGAAGCGCTTCCTGGCTCTAATCCCCTTAAGCCTGAATACCTGTTGGGGAGAGGTACTGCTCCTTGCCTTACTAGAGTGTGTCCTGGGGAAAAATCTGGCAGCACAAAGACTTGCTGATAAACCTGAGAAATCTGCTCTGCTAACAGTGCTTTCATTCATATGATAAGGGTCCGAGAGGAAATGAGTTTGTCTCCCAAAGTTTCTGCAACTCTGACTCATAGTAAGCCCTCAGGCCTCTTTGTAATGTTATCTACTGTTTGATCCTTGCCACCCTGTATTCCTGTGTATTACAACCCAATAAAAGGCTATGGAAGAAGGCGCTCAGGGCCTATTTCTCCCCGGAGAAACTGGCCGCTGCTGGCCTCTTTCTCCCCAGAGAAACTGGCCACAGCCCACGCCTCCATCCCCAAACAGATCTCATCTTGTCTCGGCCATATTTACTCACTCACGCGTGTCCGTGGCACCAGGGGGACCTTGAGAAAGTGGTTGCCCCCACACGTGCCGAGGCGCTAATTTGATTCAGACATGATGCTATGAAGCTGGGGTGCAGGCCCCAAACACACTGGTCCATCAGTCTGAGGGCAGCCCCAGCCTCTGCCTGCCACACGGCCCTGTCATTCTCTGTTGTCATTCTGTATTCTGCAACTTTCGCGAGGGGCCCTGAAACAGAAGCCCAGGGATAAAGTCAGTGATGAACATGAAAGTGTCTTGGGGCAGACGGCGCGCACAGGAGAGAGTTTTTAACTCAGTTAAACTCAGTTAAATATTTTAGTTTCTCTTTATTGCATTTTATGGGGGCAGATAATATACTATATATAAATTTGGGGTTTGAAGTCTGTAGCCTTCAAAAATTATTGCTGATTTTTAGCAAGCCAGGTGCTTTCCCAGAATTGGGAGATTTGTGATCTTTTTTCCGTCCAGGCTTCTCTCGTGCCTCCACAGCGCATTTTTGCGAGGAGCTGACTTGGATTAACAAGCTTCTCTGCGTGGCGCAAGAGCACAGCCCAGCTACGTGGGCAGAGCTTTGTTTGGCTCATTACTTTTCAGTTTGGTCACCCTTAGCCACAGGGTAGAGTGAGTCAGGATAAGGAAAATCACCCAGAATATTTACTCTGGCTAATATATTCATGCCGCTTTCCAACAGATGCCTATTAGAGTAGTTACGTGGACTTAGACTTCATCTTCCCCTCTTTTAGCCCTTACTCTCTGGTACAGAATCTAGTGAATAATAAATAAGAATAAAAAAATAAATACTAAGGAAGAACACCTGAATCACGCAGGCCAGCCAATCAGTGCACCTGGTAGGGCTGGTGGTTTGGGGATGGTTCTTTTCCTGTTTGTTCCTAAGCTCCCGCCCTTCCTTCACCCCCATCACCAACTCCCCCCAAGCCCCCCCATTACTTGTTGACCCTCTTGTTCCCAACATCACAAGTGAAACTAATGGGTAAACACGCGAGCTTCTTTGCCTGCCTGCCTGTCTCGCCCTCAGCAGTCTGCCTACTTTAATCAAGTTCCTCCCTCTCTACAGGTGAATGCCCTGGATGGGTATAACCGGACAGCCCTCCACTACGCAGCCGAGAAGGATGAGGCTTGCGTGGAGGTCCTACTGGAGTACGGTGCAAACCCCAATGCACTGGATGGCAACCGAGACACCCCACTGCACTGGGCAGCCTTTAAGAACAATGCCGAATGTGTGCGGGCCCTCCTGGAGAGCGGGGCCTCTGTCAATGCCCTAGATTACAACAACGACACCCCGCTCAGCTGGGCTGCCATGAAGGGGAATCTGGAGAGCGTCAGCATCCTTCTCGATTATGGCGCAGAGGTCAGAGTCATCAACCTGAAAGGCCAGACACCCATCTCGCGCCTGGTGGCTCTGCTCGTCAGGGGCCTTGGAACAGAGAAAGAGGACTCTTGCTTTGAGCTCCTCCACAGAGCTGTTGGACACTTCGAGTTACGGAAAAATGGCACCATGCCACGAGAGGTGGCGAGAGACCAGCAGCTGTGTGAGAAACTGACTGTTCTGTGCTCAGCCCCGGGAACTCTAAAGACACTCTCTCGCTACGCTGTGCGCCGCAGCCTGGGACTGCAGTATCTGCCAGATGCAGTGAAGGGCCTGCCCCTGCCCGCTTCCCTGAAGGAGTACCTGCTGCTTGTAGAGTAGCCTGGAGGAGATGCCTGCACCTTCACGCAGGCAACGCAGGCAACTCGGGGCGAGGGTTCTCCCTGCACCTGTGTCTCTTTGTCTTGGAAAACAGGAAAAACAGCTGTTCCTGTTGCGTGGTTTATATTTTCAGGCAACGTGTCACAACAGTAACTTCCACACCATCTCCTCTCCCCAAAGCAATAAGCCAACCAAACAAAAAAGTCTTTCACTTGTTTTCTGTTTACTTGGCTTTTTATATTGCACCCACACAAAAGTGGTTTCCCCCCTCCCCTTCCCTGTAGGGAAAAAGTCAGCAGTGCAACCTGATTTCTCTAGGAAGATGGAAAGTACAAAACACTTGAATGTGTGTTTGGTTTTTCTTTGGGGACGTAATTAACACTTGGGAAGAATCCTCTAGAAGCATTTTAACTGAACTGTGAGAAGTTGGAGAAAATGCCAGCTAACATTGCGGCCCAGAGACAGATGTACGACAGCTTCAGAGTGTGCAGATTGAGAATGGGGCCGGATGCCCCCCACCCCGGAGTGCCACATCATGGGGCATTCAGAAGGGCCTGACCCCTCTCTCACAATTGTAAGGGGAAAAAAAATGAGGCAAAGCAGTCTTTGCCTCTTTTTGATAGTTGCACCCAAGGATTACAATAACTCAGCAATGTTATCTCAGAAAGATTGTCTTGCTGCTTCCCACGCAGTAGGAGACACAGTGGGTTCTGAGCAGTCCTAAGTTTCTTCTAATGCAGTTCCTCCTCTTCCTGAAAGCCAGTTTGCTCTAGTGGCTTGTCAGGCTTTTCCCGCACCAGACGACCCTTCCTCTGCTCTGGCTGGAGGAGCTGGGCTGTCCTTTCCCGTGGGTCTTCCTCATTCCCCAGGTGAAGCTCACTCTAAGGGCTGGGGGTTACTTTTCTTTCAGGTGTTTCAGAATATTTGCTCTTCACGGTCTCTACAAGATACTGGTGGGGGGAACGGGGTTGGGGGCTTGGGAAAGAGCATCATAAGAGCTTTTTTTGAGATGGCTGCCTACCCAAAAAAAGATGTTTTTAGTGAACAATGTTTAGTCAACAATACTCCTTTTCATGTTCCTAAACTAGATCAAGTGAGCATTGATCTTCAATGACCTGTATGCAAATTTGAAAAACTGAAAGAAAAAAAAGGCAATTGGGAACTACACATAAAGAATCTGCTGGCATAGCTGATTTAAAGAAGTATATCTGCTTTTGCCCTTTTGCTATTGGTGTTTTTGCTTACTTAAAAAAATAAACAATTCTAAAAGCAACTCTGGCAATTTCTACTGTTCCTACTTTCTGCACGTTATTTAAACACCCTGAGTGCCAGCACCCTCCTCTTCAAAATGGGGCTGTTGCCACCCCCTCACAGGCTGTTTGAGGGCTCACTGACAATAGTGCTTGGCATATATCATTAATTTTTATACAGAGAGCATTGGACTGCTGTAATACTGGACTCTGACCAGCCTTCTCAGTCACTACACTTAGATCCTTTTTAGGGTATAGCGGTAATACTTTGGACAGCCAGCAAAAGTGATGCACTAGAGATAATCCCTTCCTCCACCCCTTGTAAGCCTGAATCTTCCTGCTTCATCAGGCAAGTGAGGAAATGGTGCCTTGGGAGGACCGTGGGCCTGTGCTGAGAGCCAGGACCTGGTTATCGGCAGGGCACCATGACCACCCTTGGGGGTGTGGCTTCCCAGTGCTCAGGGCCAGCTGCATCACTGGAGCACTTGGCTAATAAGGAGGTAGCAGTTATTGCTATGGAACAGAGAAATTAAGCTGAATAAGAACTGACATCTTTCCAAAAACAGTATTTAAACCAAACCAGGTCCCAGACTGGGCATCTCAATTTCCCAAGCTTCCTAAACGTGTACTTCTCCCCACAGACAGCATCTGGCTCTCATCTGGGAAGGAGGGTCCTGGGCAATCAGTGGAGGAAGAGAGATCACGTTGGAAAAAGCAACTCTGGGTAATGGGTGTATGGGGTACGTGGTCAAGAGGTGAAATACAACTTTGGCTTAAGGGAGCCTGGAGCATCATACTGGCTGCTGAGAACACAGGAGTGACCTGTGCGGGATGGGGTGAGGACCAGCGTCCTATGTTCTAGGACCCTGCGTACAGAGCCAAGAGGTGGCACAGGAGTCCACGGGGTGCTCTGTCTGGATGCAGTCTGGTCGCACTACACTCTACTTGTGAAGGTGATAACAGGACATCCACAAGCACAGTGACCAGTTGGCATTTATTAGTGTAGTTATTGTCACTGTAGCAGAAGTAGTAGAGGAACTCAGACTTTGTTATCACAAAGAAATAAATAAAGCTTATTTTTAGGAAAATTCTAACCGAGTAACTGAAATCTAGCAGTGGCACTAGATGAGCCCAGCCTCGTGTGATGAAGGAAGCTGGGGCAGAAGTCATGATAAATTCTACCTAAAACAAGCTTTCACTCGTCGCCCCCTAGCCAGAGTGACCTTGGCTGCAGTTACAGAGTAGAAGGAAACCTAATGAAAAATGAGCTAAAACCCTTGAGAACATATGGATGTGTGGATCTATTGGGGATGAGCTGACCACGACGAGACCATCCACTCCCCTCACTCTGAAGATGTTTAGACGGGAGCCTCTCCAGACCGCTTCCGGCTGATGTGCTCCAGGTGAGCGTGCTCCGAGGTATCCAGGTCGATCTCGTATTTGGCGAGGATTTTGAGGATGGGCCTCAGCTTCAGCCACCACTGTTCCTTGGGGATGCGGTGCCTACAGAGGAATGAGGTACGTGATTTAATCTTTCAGCAGAACAATCATCTTCTACCAAAGGGTTATGGGGAGAAGGTGACCAAAAGAGCCTGGATTTAGGGCACGGGCATCAGATCTTAAGTGGGTACGCCTACAGGTGTTACTCCTGAAAGAAGGACTGAAGACAGTGAGCAGATTGGAGAAGGTAGACCTCGAAGTTACCAGGGAGGGAACCACTCCAGGAAGCAGATGTACTCACTCAAAATCGGTCTGGTCCTTCAGCTCGGTCACTGGTTGAAAGACCAGGGACCTCTTACGCATCCCCAGAACGCAGCCGGAGTCTGGAGTATTGGCAAAGATCCGCCCTGCAAGAAGGGATGGGTCAGTCGAGTTTTACACTGGGGACCCAGCCTCTGGGGAGGGGCCTCTCCCTCTCACCCCACCTACCATTCCGGTAACTCTCTTTGATTTTCCCCGTCATCCAGTTCATAGCTTTGGCGCCCATCTTCGTCGCAAAATTCCTGTCAAATGGAGTTGGGCTCCCACCCTGGAGAAAGAATCATAGAAATTGCAGAGGGTAGGACTCTAAGTAGCAGAAGTATTTGACAACAAAGAGAAAAAGGAAAGAATGGGCCCCAGGTTTGTAGCCAGAAACAGGAATCCAGAAATGTAATTATGAAAGGAAATTCTACAATGGCCTGGGACCCAGGGGGCGCTGGCCCGGCATATCTGACCACTTGTCAGGTTGAAGGGTCACTGGTGAGTCGAGGGGATGACTGGCCTCACGATGGCCTCTTCCAGCTCCACAGCGGCCAGATCCTGTTCATGTGCCTCTAGTCTCACTGTCCTCTCAGTCACTTCCCTACCTCTCTTCGACCTGGCAGCTTTTCAGTCCTCACCATTAAGGACAACCAAGTGTTCCTTGTGGCCCAGTCTGGATGCCCTCAGTAGCACCTCAGAATAATATAAAACATGTAGATTTTTTCCCCCTGAACTAAGAGAAAGTGGGAAAGAGAAACAGGAAAGAGGTCTTCACACTTTAATCGTACCCCCTCCTGCTCATTCAAACTGAGATACTAGAAACCTGTTTGTGGGCAGAGATCAAAGGTCAGTGCTTATGTAGACCAGCTGGGGACACCCCGGGGTGTGGGTGGTGGAAAGGAATTCTTTTTCCCTTGAAGCCCAGTCTGTGGGGATGGAGCCCGACAGCAGCAGGTGCCTGCGCTCGTTCCACGGGTTCCGTGTGAAACAGATGTTGGGAAGAGCACTGGACGAGGCTCATCCTGGCTCTCATCCAAGAGATGAATGGCCCTGAAATGCTTAATTCTCCTCTCTGGGCTTCATTTCCTTCATTGCAATCGGTGGTTCTCACCTGGAGACAGTGTTGCCCTCCAGGAGACATTGGCCATGTCTGGAGACCTGTGTTACTTGTCACAACTCGGGGTGGAGGTACTACCAGTGCCTCGTGGGTAGAGTCCAGGAACGTTGCTAAACTACGCTGCGAGGCACGGAGCAGCCACCGTGACAAAGAATTACCCTGCTCCGAATGGCAACAGTGCTGGGGTTGAGAAACCCTGCCCTAGAGGAGCAGCGTGGGCCGCACAATCTCTAAGGCCATCTCCAGGGTGAAGACGTCCTGGTTCTGTGATGTAAGACTGGAGGCTCAGGTGCTATGGTGGCACCAGCAGCCGCCAGCACGTGAGAGGCCGGTGGGAGCCACGGTAGCTGGTGGGGGACATGGCTGTCTGGTGAAGGGCGGGACTGGGGTGTCTCCTACCTGCTGCATGTGGCCAAGCACGTTCTTCCTGCTGTCGAAGATGCCCTTGCCCTCCTCGGAGTACAGGTTGAAAATGAAGTCAGTGGTGTAGTTCTCGTTGCACTTCTCATTCCTGCCAGGCGGAGGCCGGAAGCCCGTGACTTCGGTTGTCCCCCCACCCTGACACTCCGGTGCTGCCTCTGTGGCTCTGTCCTCACTTTTCTTCCCCCCCCCCCCCCCGGGTTCGGGTTCTCTCCCTTTGCATCTACAGATCCCTCAGGGTCCCAATCATGGGTCTATTCTGTGCGCAGGGGCCAAAGCCTGGCTATTTTCTCTCTTCACTTAGGAACAAGCCGTGGACGAGGTACCTTAACACCAAGCCTCTCTTCACAGTTGTTTTCATCTTTTGCACCAGATGTTCAACATTCGCCTGAAAATGAAACAATAAATCCTAAGCCTGGCTGGGGGTGGACAGGATCCAGCAAGTGCCTCGACCTCTTCTCCCCCGCCGACCTCGCCCCGAGAAGGAAGGGCACGGGACAGTGCCGTTGGCACTCCCGGGCCTGGAGTGTGCCTGATCCCTTCACGAAGTTCAGTGCAGACTGGAATTTAAATGAAGGCTCCACATGCGACGGGCAGAAGTGTAAGGAGGAAAGTTGGAGACAGCTGTGGGGACTGTCAGCTTTCAGCCCCCTCCCACCTCCACTTCAACTTCCCTTTCTAGGGGTCTCTGCTTCCCCCAGAGGCTGGACTCTGCTCTCAGCATCAGTCGTTAAGGGAGCTGCTTGTATGTACAGCAGTGATTCTCCAGGGAGGAACCAGTTCCTTCCTTGGACTTGGAGGTGCGGGTAGGAGAGAAAGAGCCCCACCCCCTCACTCCAGGCAGGAGCTGGCTGGGCTCTGGGATCGGGGAGCTCCTCCAGCCTGCCGCCCCCTCCACAGTGTGGCTCTTCTTTCCTCCAGTGAACTGGGATCTTGGGAAGTCAGGATCATACGGTCCCTCTTGTGACATAGGACTCAGGGCCTAACCCCGGAGGTGAAAGTGTATCCCCTCCTCAAAACTGGAGTGAGAAGAGTCCGCTTGGGTGGCAAGGGGACCTGGGAAGGGCGGTGTGATGTAGTACAAAGATCACCAACTTTCTCAATCAGCTATGAATTTAGAAAAGTGTAAACCTTTCTCATCTGTAACATGGAGACAGGATCTCCCTTGTGTGTCTGCCGTGAAGATAAAATGAAAACCACACACAAAGGGCTGAGCAGCACGAACACTCCAACTACAGACGCCGTCATCACGGACGTGAGGTTACACTAGGGGACGCCTGCTCTGTGCTCTTCCCTGTCTCCTTGCAGGGCTCCACGGACCAATCAGCTCTGTCCTCATCCTGAGATCTTGAAGCACGGGCCGCTGCGGGACAATGGCACAGACTAGGGCGGGGGAGGGCTACCTTGCAGGCTCTGGGTGGCCGCCTACCTGCAGATCTCGAATGGTGAAGGGTTCCTCAAAAATGTAGGCAGCATCGGCCCCAGCTGCCAGCCCCGCCATGGTGGCCAGGTAGCCGCAGTAGCCACCCATAGTTTCGATGATAAACACCCGACGCTTGGTGCCTGCTGCTGACTGCTTGATGCGGTCACAGGTCTGCAAAGACAAAGGGTCACAGAAAGTCAAGGTCAGGGGTCTGAGTCTTGTCACTTCTGTGGCCCTTGTCATAACCCAGCTCTGGAACTACCCCCTCCCACAGGGGCCAGCCCGGCAGGGCCCCTACGCCCCAGGCTCTTGCCTTCGGGAACGGCAGGCACATGTGCCAAGCGCACTGTGGACACTGTCTCTTGGGAGGAGGGTGGACCTACTCTTCCTGTTCCTCAAAGTACAGAACTTAGGGTGTGTGGCCTCAGGAGGGAAAGACATTGGCAGGCAGGGTCCTGACGCAGTTCTCGTTTAGGAGACAGACACACTAGGTGGGGAGAATGGACACCACAGGTGCAGTGAAATAGTCTGTGCAAATGCCTGGACCCAGAAAAGCATTTTTCAAACACTGCCACTTGGTTGGCACAGAAACATAAACCTTATTTCCCAGGACTGGACTCGGCCCAGGACTTAGAGTCCCGGCTGCAGGTGCGGGGGCAGCAGCAGCAGCAGCAGCGGGGGGCTCTCACCGTGCAGATGGTATTGAGTGCTGTGTCAGCCCCCACGCTGAAGTCCGAGCCCGGGACGTTGTTGGAGACCGTAGCAGGGATGACCACAAACGGGATGCAGAGCTCGTCGTACTGCTTCCTGCCCTCCATCAGCTCCAGGCCCCCTGTGTAAGCCTGAGGAGAGAGCCACAGGGCCAGGAGTGCGGGGCGGGGGGGGGGGGCAGGGGGGGGGGAGTGGGAGGGCAGGAGGGAGAGGAAGCATCAGCAGCGCACTCACCTCGAAGCCCCCAATGATGATGAGGCCCTGAATGTTGAACTTAGTGATGTTGGCGCTGATCTGTTCGAAGTTCTTCTTGGGCAGAGTCCTAGTTCACAGAGAGGAGGTGGGGGTGGGGAGAGGGGATAATGAAATTTGGGGAAGAGACAGTAAAATTGAAAGAGAGGAAAGTCTGAGTCAGAGGACACTTTACTTACAGCGCCTTGATTTATGCCCCTTCCTGACCCACCCCCGACCACTGACTCTCCCCGGCCAGAGCCGCTGAGAGATGTCGCGCTGGCCTGTCTGCCCTTAGCCAAGTGACTGGGAACTTGGAGAGCAGGAGTCCCAGACAACAGCTGGGGTCCCGGCAGGCCCTGACCTGATGAACTGACGCCCACCTTCCGAGGCTAGGAGGGGGTGCTCCTGTGGTGCCACTTACCTTTTAGTCCCAAGTTTAGAACCGCCTTGGCCAATCCAGCCCCCGACGTAGCTCCAGCCAGCTTCCTCGATCTGCAGGCAAGGGCCACACAGGTCTGCATCGTGGACCGACACCACCGGAGCCCCAGGCCCACCCAGATACCCCGACGTGGGAAGATGAACACCAGGGACTGGCTTTTCCCCGCCCCCTCGGACAGTGCCCACCCTCACTGCTCACTCACGGACAGTGAGCGCCTGCTTGTGTCAGACACTGTGCTGAGCTTTGGGACAGAGAACCAAATGGGACGTGTGGCTTGCACAGGGTTTACTGCAGTGGCCCTTGCCTGTTCCAACTGTCCTAAATTTAAATATCTACTTCCCCTCCAATCCCGGAGAAAAAAAAGGTAGTGGGGGACAGGGGAGGAAGAGAACAGACAGCCCACCCCCGCTACACGTATCCCCCAGGACCACTCCTTGGCCTGGGACTATCACCCCTCTCCCTCCAGCCCCCATACCTGACCCTTGGCCAGGCCCTCGAAGCCGTCATGCACAACCAGGACGCGGTTGCCCTGGATGAGGCCGATTCTCACGGTGGAGCGGACGGCGGCGTTCATGCCTGCCGCCGGGGCCCCCACATTCATCACGGCCACTGTGTGCAAGCCAGTCTGTGGAGAAGGACGCCACCAGGGAGCAGGGGAGAGGGGGGACAGGTCGGTAAGGGAGCTTGATCAGGACATCTGCCTGACCACACACCCCCCTCTCTCAGGGCACGCGTGCACAGCCTGCTCCCTCCTACTATGAAAGCAAATTCTTGATTACAAATCAATACATAAACTGCTATCCCTGATCCCTGATATCATTATACAATGACTACGAGAGCTTCCCCAGCATCGGTTCCCAAAGTGAGATCCTTGGGCCACTTGCAACAGAAGGCACCCAGGGAGCTTGTTAAACCTGCATCTTCCTGGGCGCCACCCCAGCTGAGTCCCCTCTGGGGAAACAGCCCAGGAGCCTGCACACCCAACCCAAGGGTTCTGATGTGCACTAAATATAGAAACAGTGCTCCAATGGGAGAGGGGGCTTAAACACACTCAGTGGGACTATTCCCAGATATTGCCCAGAGAATACATAATACAGCGGCCCACTTTCCCATTCCTTGCATGCCATTCGGTCAGCCCTGAACTGGAGATGAGACTCGGGTGAGAGATATTCAGGGCACATTGAGAATGTGAGGCTGGATCTGAGTGGCTAAGAGAAAGTTCTGTTATCAGGGTCAGGAACTCAGCACGAAGGTGAGAGTGGGGCAAGGAGTTGGCCAGGCTGTACGTAGTAGGAACTGGGGGAGGCACTTCATAAAGGGAGGCTGCGGGGTGGGCCAGAGGGCCAAGGGGGGACAGCAACTTGCCAGCACCTTAGATACTGGAGGTCGGACATGAGCCAGAAGCTTGTATACCTCCCAGTTGTTCATGAAGCTCCTGTAAAAAGTGTGGAGAGAGAGAGGCATTTCTTCAGTCCACTCCCCAGGCCAGCAGCCAGTGGGATCTGGTCTGAAGTTGCGCTCCCAATGTGAAATTCCACAGGGCCGACCTCTAAGGACGTAAGTAAGTGGGGCGAGAGCAGGGACTGCAAAGCAGGCACCAGTTCGTCAGCCGCTCCTGAGAGCTCTTCCCCCAGGCCCAGCACGAGAGGCTGCCCCTGCCTAGAGAAGCTCACAGTCTAGCTGGGGGGCACAGTCAGAAACAACAGTTACAAAGGGCCCATCTCTGGGGGTATCCTTGGGGGAGCTGAGCTCCCTGGTCACCTCACAACTAGTTCTCTCGGGGAAGAAAGTGTGTAGAGACAACAAGAGGGAGCTCTTGTTTTGGGCCAGAAGCTCTGTGACTTGGCTTCACGCGGCATCTCACTGCCGTGGTGCATGAGCTTCCGGGGGCTCCCTCACCGGCCTCGCAGTTTCATGGCCTCATCGAACTTCTTCTCGTTCATGGCCGTGGTCACGTCTTTGGTCTGAGGGAGAAGCACAGCAACAATCACAACTTCCGGGCAGGCTCGGCACAGCTGGATTTCCACCCCCAGGAGACCCGGCTCATCTCTGGGCTTGTGATGGATCCTGCCCACCCCGCACCCCACCTTTTCTATGCTCCTCAAATTTTCACAGAACTACTTTTGTTTTCCCCTTATTTTCTGAGTGATAAGCAGCAATAGAAGGCTAATTCAATGCTCTATTTTTAGAATGTGGGCAGAGTGGAGCAGTGCTCAGATAAAATAGCACCTTCCTCCACCCCACACCCGAGGCCCAGTCTCCAGGCTGCCTCTAAACTAGTGAGCGCCTGAAGATGCTGCAGACAACCCAGGGAGGGAGCTGCAAGCACGGCTGGAGCCTGTCTGGGCTGCAGGTCACTGGGACCCCTGAACCTCAGAGAGAAGCAAGCTTGAGGTGGGGAGCCAGCCCTAAGCCTTCAGGCCAGATACCCAGCGCCCGGCCCTGATGTTTTCCCTGTGGTGTCAGCGTTGATTCCTCTCCGAGAGCCACTGCGTCCCCTGAGCCCTCCATGGTCTCCAGCTCTGTGCCTGACCCATCACATCTCTCCCCTCCGGTCCTCATGACAGCCCTCACCGTGAGTGGGAGTGCCCCGTGCCGGTTCAGAGAAACCCGTTCGGGGTAGAGTTCAGAGAAAGCTATACAAGCTACCCAGCCAGACCTTAATAATACTCCCCTGCCTTTCAGAAAGTTTGGAGAGAGATGGTATTTCTCTTCTAATCAAGACATGATAAGAGGGTTTGAGGTTGGATATCATGAGAGAACAGGTCTCTTCACTGGGCTGGGTGTGGAGGCTCCCATCTTCCTTAGGGACATTTCACGATGGGGAAACTGAGGCTTAGAGAGGTTACAGCTGCTCCGCAAAGCCCACCGTGTTCTTTCCCCACATGCCTCCTGCTCCACCGTGCTGCCTTTCCTTCTGCTCTGTCACAGCAGCCTCGGAAGTTGGTCTCTGCCCCCATAAGCTCCAGCTCAGACACAGTTTGGAGCCATTAGGAAGGGGCACTGGGTCAGTACTCACCACCTGGACACACTCCATGAGAGGCAGGCGCACAGCCTGGTTGCCAGAGAGGCTCACCACACAGGCCGGGGTGTCTGGGGTCCCCTCCAGTAGTGCCATCACCGCTTCCACACCCATCCTGCTGCCCTGCAGGAAGCCAAGCAGCAAAGACGGTCTGGCCAGGCCTCTCTACCATCTTGGCCTGGCCTGGGGAAGCAGGCGCTCAGAGCTCTTTCCCGCTCACAGGGGCGAGTTCCAGATTTAAGGGCTGTAGCCAAGAACTTACTGGCTCCACCTCCCTACCCAGGTTTCACCTAAAGCTCCATGACTCTCCATCCCCTTGCCTTAGCACCCCAAGGATTCTGTGTGATCCCAGAGAAACACGTCAACTCCGGTAGTCAAGGGGATCAGTGAGGCTTAATAATATTCCCTTCTTACTGATAAAACAGGAAGAATGTTGCCCGTCTCTTCCAACCAAAGTAGGATGAGACACACACGGTGAGTCTGAGGTGCGATTTTAACAACTTCACTAATGCTCAGGGCTGCGATACCATATCCCACCACTAGGGGAGCACATCGTTTCCTGTCATTTTTGGCACCAGAAGAGAGCTCCCGAGTGGAGCTGGGTGGAGGCAGCTACAGCCCGGGGGTGGGGGGTGTCTAAGCCCTTGTGCTGGTGAAGTCCTGCGGGGGAGGGAGGGGCTCTGAGCTCCGTGACTCACCAGGATCCGGTCAAAGGCTGATGGTGTCCCACCCCGCTGCACGTGCCCCAGGACAGTGACCCGGGTGTCATATCCCAGACGCTTTACCACCAGCTGAAGAGACACCAAGAGAGGCACAGAGAAAGGGACATACAGAGTCAAGAGTGAAAACAGAGATGTAGATAAAGATGGGCAACTTAGCTTCTGATCTTGTGAAGGGTCCTGGGTGGGAGGAAATCAGGGGCAGCACACCCGGAGAGGGACATGTGGAAGGACCAAGGGGAGACCCAGAAACCCCCAGGGAAGGGGCCGGGGTGACCTCTCTGACTTCATACTAACGTTCTTGATGTCTTCGGAGGTGATTGGCTTCCCGTGCTTGTCAATTGCCCCCTCAGCCACAATGATGATGTTGAGCCGAGAGCCGCGGGTCCTTGTCTGGTCAAGCAGGCAAAGAGGGAACCGGTCAGTGGGATGAACTGGTGGAGGGGGAAATGCATCACCGGCGAAACAGGGTGAGGCAAAGAAAAAGTGCCGGTACCTCGCTGAGCCGGCGACACAGGTGTTCCTCCCAGTCATCATCTGGCGGGCATTCAGGAATAAAGACCCAGTCGGCGCCACAGGAGAGAGAGGTGACAAGGGCCAGGTATCTGAGATGAGAACCAGAAGCAGCACACTAGTAGCTACACTCCACCAACAGCCTCACCGGGGTCCAACAAGTTCGCCAGTCCCGTAGTCGGTGAGAGGACCGAGGACCCTCAGTTCCTTTCTTGGGGTGAGAGCGAGAGCACCCTCCCGACAGCTCCTCAAGGAGGGTCCGTCCCTGAAGAGCATGATTTATTCATGCTCACTTCCCAGAGTGGCCTCCAGTCTCAGAGCCCTGCATGCTCCTTCACACTGCCTGTGCGCCTGTGCACGCACACACGTGTGCACACAGGTGCACGCGGGTCTGTATGGGAAGTGGAGTGCAGTGCACAAGAGGACCACGTGCACCTCCAGGTCTGCTACCCCGGGAGACCCCTCTTGTACTCTCCAGGGAAGAGGAAAGGGGCCACAGAACAAATGGGATGGGGGTCTTACCCACAATGCCGGCCCATCACTTCCAGCACAAATGTCCTCTGGTGGCTGCAAGAGACAGACACTTTACACAGTCCAAGAGTCCCTATGGCAAAATCAAGCTGCCACCCCTATTTAGGCTAAGTAACCTCTCTGAGAGAAGTATTCATGCTCCTAGGCCTTTTGGCAGGTTCCTGAGGGAGCAGGGGACCTAGGGGCAACACCTTAGCCACAGGGTGTCCTTCCCAGGTCTGGGAAAGCGCAGCAGTGAAAGGTGTCAGGACTGAGGCTCTGCTCCAGCAAGGGATGGGGCCCGGGAAGAGAAGAAAAGAAGGGGAAAAGAAGTGAAGAGGTGACTTGGCTCACCTGAAATCCTGTAGGGTTCCCCTGGGGTAAACTGTCACACTCTCACCCTCTCATTCTCCCACATGGCCTCCAAGTCCCCTAACCTCCAAGCAGTGGCGGCAACAACCTCTGCTATCTCTCTGATGAGGTTGGAAAGGTGGCTTGGGTTTTGGGCTCTTTGGATTCGTCTCACTCTGAACCCTCATCATCTGGGCGGCCCAGAGTTATTAAAGACCTCAGAGCTACGTGTTTGGGCAGTGGGCTAGACAGTGTCAAGAGGCAAATCTTACAGCATTTCAAGAACAGTGTAATTTCAGTGCTGTAGGATAATTTCTAGTTCAAAATGTGTTCCAGCCTCAGAAAACCAGTCGTTACCGTTACCGTAGCTGGAACACTTTAATCTGCTCCAGCCCCCAGCCCTCTAGCTTGTCCGGCTCCCGAGCGGCCAGCCCCAGCACCCTCACCTCTGAGCAGTCGTGGTGATGGCATCTACAATCTCTATGATCCGGTGCAGGGCAGAGTCCGTACCAATGGTCATGTCGGTGCCACAGAAGTCATTGTCAATGGAGCCAACCAGGCCCACGATGTTCAGGTAGCTAGACTTTTTAGCTTCCTCAGCTGTGATCTTACCTGACAATGGAAAGCACCTGGGTGAGGTGCCGGGCAGCCCAAAGAGCACGCGACCAGCCGGACAGGGAACGGTAGCCAGTGGGAATTGTAAGCAGTGGCAGGAAAAGAGGGTAACGACTATTTTGTCTGGGTAACGACTTCCTCCAATGGGAGGTGAGGGGTGTGCATGCGCGAATGCAAACAATGCTGATGAGAACAGTGTCTCACCCGCTTTCTGGAGGTCATTCAACAAGTTACTCCACTCGGAACGGAAGGTGTCGGCTCCAGTGAGGCTGCCATCTCCCCCAATGACACACAGGTTGGTGATCCCACGCTTCACCAGGTTGTGGGCAGCTCGTAGTCGTCCCTCTCGTTCCCGAAAGTCCTTGCACCGGGCGCTTCCAATCACTGTGCCTCCCTTGGAGGAAGAGGTAGAAGTCAGCTGACCAGCTGACACAGCCATATTTGGGCCCCACATGCTAAAATTTCCCCTATTCCAACACTGTCACAGACGGACATAACCACGAGGCTCCCTAGGGAGTCTCCTGACATCTTTAGGAGTCATTTTCCGTCTAAAGGAAAGGGAAATAATGCTGCTGGGAAGTCCCAGCATCTTCCCTGTTTCTGCCACATGTCTTGGAAGGCTGCGAAGCTCGACCCGTCTCCTTGAAGATCAAAGAGAACAAGGGAATTCATACATCCCTATTGGCTTTTGAAATAATCTCTACCTTTCACATTTTTTTAAAAGTGTAAGAACTAGCAGCGACTTCAGTTTTTGGCAACACCCCCCGCTGGCCTGCCGTTACTGGACTGTGCTCATGGCGATGTCCTCCACGGTGTTTTTCCCTCCCCACCACCCTGCGATGTCTGTCTGCAGCTGGGCCCGCCAGTCTTTCCCCTTTGCTCCTTGGAATCTATGGCACTCATGGAAAGAGCCATAAAATCCAGGTATTCACTGGAAAAACAGCTTTGGTTATAGAAAGCCTTAAATTTCCAGGGGCTTATAGATACCCCAAGAGAGGTAAGTATACTTCTTTTCTTTCTTTAAAAAAATTTTTGTTTTAAATATTTTATTTACTTATTTTTAGAGAGGGTGGAAGAGAGGGAGAGAAACATCAGTGAAAGAGAGAAGCATCAATTTGGTTGCCTCTCGCATGCGTGCGCTGATCGGGGGACTGAACCCACAACCCAGGCACATGCCTCGACTGGGAATTGAACCAGCAACCTGTTGCTTTGTGGAATGACGCCCAATGAACTGAGCCACACTGGTCAGGGCAGTAAGTACACTTATTTTAAAAAATCATATAACCTCCGGACATTCAGGACTTTGGGGGCACCGATTTTTGTAATTTGTAGATTTTTCAGTAAATCAGAAAATGTGTATATAATGACTTAAAGAATTTGGCAGAAAGGGCGATGGCTATGATCAAGGTATATTTAGTTTAGTTTAGTTTTTTAACCCAGAAAGGCTTTCTGGTTTTTCCCTCCCTTAAACGGCCGGGTTTCAGGTCACCTCATCACCGTCACATGAGGACTGGCATATTTCGGCTCTGCTTCTGGCTCTGGCTCCGGTACTCTGTAAGGTTATTTTCAGGGCCAGACCTTCCCCGTGACCCCAGAGCAGGACTTGCTTACACTCTAGTTTCCCAAGACGTGTCTATGACCTTTATACAAAGAGCAAACTGTCCTGTGATCCCATCCCCACTCCCTGTCCCGCTCCAGGAAGCCAGACTGATATTTTCAAATTCAAAGAGTAAAGGGCATACACAGCCCCTGCCTTGTCACTGAGTGCCTTCCCATCTCACCATATGGCAGGAAATTGGGGAAATCATGAGCCCAAAGCACAGTGGGGTGAGGCAAGGACAATACAAACATGGGTCAGGTGTCCCCCAGAACTTACCAGCTGAAGCATCATCGAAACGCTCTCCCAGGTGGCTTCCCTGATGTGCTCTCCACCATCCACCAGGCCTTGATAACCCTGTGGGGCACATTATACCCATTCAGTCTCTGCTAGGCTTCCTCCTAAACTCCCAGGACCAAGACAGGACCAAGACAGGATCCCTGGGAAGAGGTTCATGGAGAATCAAGTGACTTGCTCCCATTAGATTCCTGGGTACTTGTGAGACTACAATATTTACCATGGTCCAAAGAAGGGGAAGCTAACTTTTTCAATACCCTCTTACAGTGTCTCCCATTCTTGATATGCTTCCTAATATGTACTCTTAATTCCTCTGGCTCTTGGCTCATCCCATTTTCTTTCAGCTAGTTCCCAGGGGAACTAGGTAACAGTTTTGGCAACAACAAAGGAAAAGAAAAGAAGATGTTGGAGCGAGGAAGAGGTCTGTGACTTGAAAAGACAAGAGACTATAAAGTTTAAAAGAAGAAAAAGAGCTAGACCTTACCTAAAGAAGAGGAAACAAAGAACAGGAGGAAACAAAGAGGAATTAGAACCTTAGAAAGTTAGGCAAACTACAGAAATCTAGTGAGACTCTTTCTTCCCAAGGCTCTTTCTCTGGATGTACTCAATTTGCTGTGAAATACTAACTCATTGCAGCTTCATTCTGTGTTTTTGGGGAAGGTGGAGGTGGTGTGGGAGGCTCAGCTCTTCTTGCCGGTGCAGTAAAGAGTTACAGTTTGGCAAGCCTATTAGCATGTAAGCAAAGTGTATTGGTGATGCATTCTCGTGGAAGAGAACGGGCCTAGCGGAGGTGGGTGAGAAAGGCACAAGCGCTTGGTCTCTTTGTCCTGAGGACTTATATATTTGCAGGGTGGGGTGAGGGAGCTACATATCAGTTTGGTGGGAGAAAGCGGGATATACTTTTCCAAGTTACTTCTTCCTTTAAACTGAGGCAACATGAGGACCCAATCCACAGATTCCTGGGTCCTACCATCATTACTGAAGCCAAGAGTGGGGAAGAGGGGCCATGTAGACAGAGAGCCAAGACAAATCAGACAGAGCAGTGCAACCAGAAGGTAAGGAAAGAGAACGTGGGGAAAGGGTTGGGGCAGGTTAAGCATACGACAGAGGGAGAAATGGAGAATAAAGCAGAGACCAACCTCATGGACAAAGAATACACGGGCACCAGTAAAGATACCAACTCGGACCACAGCCCTGACAGCAGCATTCATTCCTGCAAAGAGGAAAGAAAAAAGTTAAAAAAAGGTTGCTCCTAAGAAAAGCAGCCCTGGAATCCAAAACACGAGACCGTCCTTTTCCTGGGCTCTTCTATGAATCTAGAATACACCTCTCATTCAAGCCTTCTGGCCTCCCCATTAACACTGAATTGCTGCAGTCAGTGTTAATATAGGTCCAGACATCCCCCCAAATCCTGTCTTTCCTAAGACCTTTCCTTGCCAGGGCAATCTGGGGAATAATAATCTTGAAGGCTTATTGTGTTAGACATTTCTAAGTGCTTATCAAAAATCACCTCAATTAATTCTATCCACAATCCTGGAGTTACCTCTACTTCCCAGAATTTTGGAAATTGAAGTTCCAAGAGGTCAAGGTCACAGAGCTAGTACTCCTAGAAAGCTCGGATTTGAATCGAAGTCCTAAAATGCCTAAACAAACACTACTGATTCTCATGCTATGCTCTCCTACCCCCAGTGGCTGTACTAGGTTTTTCCTTGCCTTCTGCACCGAATCTAGACATTCAGCTTTGATCAGCTTCTGGGACAAAGCTATGACTCCCTGAGGCTCCACAAACACACTGCTTTTTAGTGTCATTTCAGCTGGAGTATGTTGCAATGTGTGCCACACAACTGAGATTCTCTGGCTTATAATGTGAGAGGGGACTCATGGTGACATTTGAAGAATCATAGTGCCATAAGAAGTCAAGTTCTTGGGAACCATTCTTCCAGATATTCCACCTAAAATCTATTCACATAGTCCTTGACCCTATCAGAGGAAATGTCACAGATTCGTGAGCACCAGGCTAAAATCCATCATGAGCTACTGCATAATCCAACGCTATCTGGAAAGGAATAGAATCAAGAAGACCAAAGTGTCTGTTTCTGGTTGTTGTTTGTTTATTTGTTTGTTTTTAGGCCAACAAAGGTTGGTATGGCTATAAGCTCCAAATCAAATTACGTGGAATAAGCGCCATTCACTCACTGAGCAAATAGTGAGTTCTGAGCATGTGCCTGGCACTGTGTGAGCACTGGGGACACAGGAGAGGCAGATACAGAACCTGGGCATACAGAGACAAAGGGCTTAGTAATGCTCCTCACGGCCTGTGAAGAATTACAGTGTGGAAATAACGTGGATCCCTACCGAGGGGATTTGTGCAGTGGGAACAAGGAGAAGGAGCATCTCAGCTGCCAGGAAGGAACCTGGGAAGGCTATATAGATAGACAGCCTGCGTGCGGAGACCTGAAGGACAATTTCCTCTTCATCTTTTTGTGAGGTGGACAATTCTGGGGAAGAGTGTTCTAGGCAGGGAGAAAAAAAACCCAACAAAGGTGAGTTTCAAGAGCCTTAGAAAGAATAAAACATAAGATAGGAAGCGGTGAGCAGTGATGCGGGCAAGCACCTGTACACTGCATGAGAAAGTCTGGCTTTTGTTCTGCAGGCCAGTGTTCGACTAAGGATCCATGGGTGATGGTTTTATGGGCTTGGACGTTTCTTTTGAAAGAAGGTCCACAGCTTTCATTTGATTCTGAAAGGGTCTGTGACAAAAAGAAAAAAAAAAAGAAAGAAAAAGAAAAGAAAAAAGTTGTAAACGGTGAGAATTGTTGAAGAATTTTGAAAGTAGGAGATCCACACATCAGAAAGATCACTCTGCCAGCAGTTCCAGGACAGAGTGAAGGAGGCGACAGTAGGATTAGATGACTACCAGGCAGCCTAGACAAAAAAAATGATGAGGTCTTATCCTGGGAGAGTGACATTCCTTACAAAAAAGAGATCATGGACAGGAGACACCCAGGAAACAAAAGCAACAGGACCCACACCTAATCTGCAGGGTGATTAGGTTTTGAAATTTTGGAAAGGAAGAAGGAAATGCAGAAGGCTGACTTTCACAATGGGGAAAGCTATGGCGCAATGAACCAGGCAGAGGCAGGTTTTGATTCAGGAAGATGGGGTAGAGAGGACACATTCATACTTGGATATGTTGAGTTGAGTTCCTGTGGGACATCCACGTGGACTTGGAAAAGACCGTCTCAGAACACATGGAGTTAGAAGGGAAAAGGGCAAGGAATGGAGCCTTGAGGAAAACCAACATCGAAGGAATGGGCAGAGGAAGGGGGACTCCACGAAGCAAACTATAAGGAGTAACCAGAAAGATGAAGGAGACCAGGACCTACCCATGTTTTCAAAGCCATAGGGGACAGTTTTAAGAAGTGGAAACAGTGTCAAATGCTCTCGATAATTGAAATAAGAACTGCAAGGTTGGGCTTGCTAACAAGAGTCATTGGTGAGCACTGATCTCAAAGCTCATTTGTAACACCACTGAGGCAAACCCATGAAGGCTAGAAGTCTAAGTTTATACCCTGGGTTTGAAGGAATCAAAACGAAAGAATCGTGAAGAGAGGGGGCTTCTCAGAAGCTTTAAGAAAAGCCTGTGTGGACAAGGACAAGGTCAGGGTTGCCACAGAGCCATCAGTGCTTTAGGATGAAGTTAACTCCATAAGGTCACGACAGATATGAAACTACTATTTATTTGGTCTGTGGGATTCTCTGTTGGCTACTCGGAGTTCTGAGGTATGAATTTGAAATCTTAAGGAATAGAGAAAACACATTTTTCTGAAATGTATAGCTTGGCACGCTGTTTCCTGCTATTGAGCTGAGTAGGAGCAGGGGAGAACGATTTAAGAAAAACAAATGACTTAAAAGGTTTTACGGAGGGGAAGGAGATTTCAAAAAATAAATAAATAAAAGGTTTTACAGGTAAAGAAAACAAGAGATGGTGGGAACAAAATACCCAAATCCACTGGACAGGAGAAAAGTCCCAGGAGAAAAGAAGGCTCTTTCTCCTCTTTCCTCCCTCCCTTCTTCTTACCTCAACCCTACCAACCTCTAGAGGCCATCCTTCCTGCCTCTAAATTGGGTGTCTGAGTGTTTTCCTAGAAATCAAGTTTTAGGACCCCCTTTAAGCCTCTGGATCTGTGTCTCAAACTCCTAGTTCCCTAGAAATCACAGATTTATCAAGACATATGGACAGGGAGTTCCAGTAATTTTCTGGACTCTCCTATCCAATCTCATTGGCCTATTCTGGCCCCAGGCCAGTCCTGGCCAGGCTCTCCTTGGCTGTTCCATGTTGCCCAAAATAACCCTCTGTGAGCAGCTGTTTGACATATTAGAAGCAGGACAAGGATAAGATTACAGGTACCATCCAGGGTGTATTCTGGGCACAGCAAGGAGGGGCTCTAGAGAACATCAGAAGCATGTAATTTGGGGTCTCCAATTACATCCTGTTGGAAAGAGGCTTTGGGGAGAACTGTGGGTGATGTTCTCTATGAGATGAGACAGAAAAAACCCATAAACAACTTGGTTACCGCCTTTTTGAAGGGGAGTGCCAAAATGTTCTCTCCTACCTTAACTAAACTTTGAATAAGAAAAAAATTACTTAATTCCACATATGAGGAACAAATGTTTGTTAGATGTGAACTATACTTTCTGATGAATATGTCATTGGAAATTACAACTCCCAGAACAGCAGTCAGAGAGGTGATAGAATCCCTGTTCCTGCAAACCTGTAAAATAGGGTGAATACGCATTTAAAATGGGCTGCCTGTCAGAAGACAGAGGGTAGAGCAGATGACTGAGCTCCTTTCCTACAGAACGTGCCAATTTCATAAGGCCAAAAGTGGCACAGTACAGAGGGACTGGGACTGGAAAGGGATTAGCATTTGGTATCTCTTAGCCCCGCTTTTGAGCTCGGGACGCCTCACTCCTGGCCACTCTTCTACTTTAAGAGGTTACTGGCTTTGCTAGGGCTCAGGGAATGACAGAGCGGTGGCTTCCATGGGTTTTACAGAGCCCAACCTCACTTCCCCACGTAGGCCTGGCCTCCAGGGAAAACACATTTCTGTGCTCTCTGCCTGGGAGAAGTAGGCACCATTAAACTTCTATCTGGACAGGCTGCTCCTGTATTTAAACTGCTCCTTCAGTTGGGACCTCCCAGCTTTATTTTGAATTTCCTGCTTTGCTTCCTTGCCTCCCTGGAAGTTCATCCTCTACCACTCTCGGTCCCTGCTGCCGTGCGCCTGTGATGTTATGTGGACTTTCAGTGGGTACAGATTCTGTCATAGAATCCCATGGGCCTTGTCCTAGGTGGACCCTGCAGAGACCAGCTTGTCAACAGCCCCTGCCTATGTAGAAGATGAACCTTCCCTTAGAGCAGGTGACAGTCATCTCTGAAATAAGAGGGTCTCTCTGCTCAGGACCAGATGGTGGAAGGGCTCTTAGATCCAAGTTGAATCCCAAGCCTTTCTTTTCCTTTTTTTTTTTTTTTTTGTTATCCTCTTTCCCTTTCCAGAAAGCTCTTCTTTTTCATTATTTCATAACTCTGTGTGGCTCACCTGGATTTTTTTTAGCAGGTTCTCACTTCCCATAATCTGACAATCCAATTCTACACGCCGTCCTACCAAGGTTTTAGGATCAACTCTCAAAGTTCACATTGGAGAAGTCGGTATTGGCCAGGGATTTGTACCAGGGAAGAGAGAAGCGACAGAAGCCAGGTCAACCATCTTTACAGCCCACAGCTAGGGCTCTGCATCCCTGACCTGGCCGCTGTTCCTAAACTCAGGCCTTTGTGCCCTCTTTCCTCAGCTTCCTCATTCCAGTGTTCTCCTGTTCACATATATACCAATTATAATTAGATTAACATAGTTTAAAAACATGCTTAAAGTCTAGCTTTACTAAAATACTAATAAGAAAGATCATAAGAGCCCTGGCTGGTGTGTCTCAGTGGACTGAGTGGCAGCCTGCAAACCAGAAGGTCGCCTGTTTAATTCCCAGTCAGGGCACATGCCGGGTTTGCGTGCTGGGTCCCCAGTTGGAGGTGTGCGGGAAGGCAGCTGACCAATATATCAGTCTTTCTCTCCTTCTCCTTCTCTTTCTCCCTTCTTTCCCTTCTCTCTAAATATAAATAAAATCATTTTTAAAAAAGAAGGACCATAAGAGCAAAGACAATGTGCGACTTTTTTGTTACTGTATCCTTAGTGCTTAATAACATCTGCTTGGTACATAGTCAATTATTCACTTTTTATTTAATCAGCTGTACAGTTATTGAGTACTTACTGTGGCCCAGGCATTGTTCTAAGCACTTTAGCTGAATGAAGAGTTCAGTCTCTTGAAATGTATCTTCTCCGTGAAGTTTTCTCTGGTTAGTCCAACTGGGGCCTATCATTTCATTATATAAGTGTACTCTACTTGGTTTAAGGCACATTGATTATTGTTATTTATGTGTCCTACATGAGAATTCTAGTAATATAGGCTATCTTTTCTCATTAAGCTGTAAGTTCCCAAAGGAAATCACCTTCTGTATCACATGTGCAACAGGGCCCTGTACCAAATGTGTGCTTACTACAACAGTCCAGGGAAGCGCAGGGAGAGTGGTGCGGGGCAAGGGGACACCAGCTGAAATCTCTTCTCTTTCCTATCACAGTCCCCATGCCCTGGTACCCCTTTCAGAGAAATTCTGCTTCTCTTCAATGTATTAAATTAGAATATACAAGATCACCGAAGGAGAAAAAAAGTAAAATTAATCACATATCCCCCACTTCATTTTTCCATATACCTGATTTTTCTGACCCCCAAGTTCCTTTTCTTTCTTTTTTAAAAAGATTTTATTTATTTATTTTTAGAGAGAGGGGAAGAGAGGGAGAGAAAAATCAATGTGTGGTTGCCTCTTGTGTGTCCCCCACTGGGGACCTGGCCTGCTACCCAGGCATGTTTCCTGACCGGGAATCGAACCAGTGACCCTTTGGTTCACAGGCTGGCACTCAATCCACTGAGCCATGCCAGCCAGGAATGACTCCTGGGTTTCTTAGACACAACCTAGAAATGGGTTCTCTCTGGCTTTCTGTCCACCTGTCCACCACCACCATAGATCTGCACTGAACCGCTGCCATTCGAGGGCTAAAGGGATGGAAGGGTAGGCAAGGCCAGAGAAAACAGAGTGAAGCAGAATTTTGCCCATGAGAAGGACATGTGCTGTAAGAGTGAGGTGCCGGACCGTGGTCGGTGCAATCATTCTGCAGACATCAGAGTTGATACTGAAGCTGGAGCTCGAGCCCACCAACCAACCAATTCTGGGTCTCCCCGCTTCCCCATCATTTCCAATGTACTTGAAGTGAGTGCCCCTACTGCCTTCTCAATAGTTTTATATTGTCAGTCCTTTTCTTTCCGATGTTTTTTGAGAAAACACCAGTCTTTTAGGTATCAAAGGACCACAATGGACCCACATCTTCAGAGAAATTTGGAAAGAAGTTTTATGAAGATTTAGATAAATCAAAGTAGAGAATATAAAGTCCAAAGCACTTGAGGATTTAGACCTGACAGAGATTTTTAGGAAAACCCAAGATTCTTATGTGAATCTGTAACAGGAAGATATTAAGGAGGACGGTTCATTCTACAGGCCAAGGGGAGTCAAGAAACAAGGGGGCCGATAGGCCATGATTTCTGCTGCTAACTGAGCAAGGCCCTTCTCCTCACCTTGGGCATCTCCACCGGAGGTCAACACGGCGATGGCTTTGCCGATCCCCAGGGTTTTGGCCGCATGGTGCTCTTCATGGGTCATGATCCACTCTAGAATTCAAAATAACGGTCAATTAAGACACAGCTGGAGCAAGGCGCTGTGGGCACGGGAAGTGGCTGTTGGACTGCACAGAGCCGCTTCAGTCAGGCTCTTCCACTGTACCACGTTTGGGCTTTGCAGCCTGAGAGCTTGAACTTCTTCCAAAAGAGAGCCACACCCCCACAGAGTGACAAGCTAAAATGTCACAGTAATCAGCCCAAGACTGCAAAAGTCCTGGCTAATCCTTCCAATTGAGGCCTATTTGGAGAATAAGCAAAGGTCAAGGGGAAGGGTGGCTGACTGAACAGAAATGAGAAAGGAGAAAGTTAAGTTAGCCTTAAGAATGGATTCCTTCCTTTAATGTAGGGAAGGGCTGTTGCAGAGGATAGGAATCAGATGAGAACCAGCAAAGTGGAAGTAGAAAAGTGAGGGCAGATTGGGCATGGTTAAGGTTAGGGCTGGGTGTTATGGAATTGGGCTAAGTTGGAACTGGAGTTTGAGGTTTAAAGGCACATTGGAGCTTGGGCAAGTTAATGGTGTCAGGCTCAGGAATGGTGAGGGAGTTTTTATGGCTTTTCTAGTCCCTCTCGGGCCCTTCACCTCCCGAGCATCTCTCGATCCTTTGTCTTCAGGCCTTGGCCCTCACACTATGCACTATCAAATGAGAAGAGTAACACGAAATCATTGTCACATACACACAGATGGTGAACACTGTCCTATCCTTGTCTCTGAAAGGAACACACAAGACATACTTTGCATCCAGAAAATGCCAACAGAATCACCACTCGCCCAGTTATCCAGGCTAAAATCTTTTATTTTTAAATCTATTTTCTCCTTAATCTCAGAATCAAGTTTCCAAATCCTTTTATTCTCCCTTCATATTATCACCCCTCTCTTCTATCCTCACTGCGCCTTTCCACATGAATTGCCTACCACAATAGCTAACCTTTCTCCTTGTTTCCCTTCCCCTCTCCATTAGAGACTCAAAATAAACCTGGAGGGGAGGTCACAGAGCCCCGGGGCCTCAGAGAAAAGGATTCATTCACACGTACAGGAGCTGATGACCCTTAAGCGCAGATCATGCTTCCACTGTGAATCTGGGGAAATAAGAGTAGCTGTTGCTGAAGACACAGGTCACATAAACACACAGATCCACACACGTGCCAATGAAATGCATGCAGTGAGACACTTATGAATACATACACACACACACAGCATTATTAAGAGACACAGATTCCCAGACATTGTCCATATAATCGGTGCTGACAGACAGAGTCCAAACTTCTTGGGCTGGTGTTCAAAGCTTCCATGATCCAGCCCTTGCCTCGAGCTCCAGTGCTTGCTTCCATGCATCGTGCCAGTGTCACCTTAACATTATGACTTGGCTCCTCCTCATTTCTGCGCCTGAGCACATTGCATTCCTTTCCCAGAAAGCTATCCAGTTCCTATTGATCAGTGGGCCTTTTCCGTAGATCAATATCCTGCTCCATCACTTAAGACCAGTCTTAGTCACTCCCCTAGGGAACTTATTAAGCCTTCATTTACTGCAGGTCAAAAAGGGCTTCTTTTTGGATTTCCTCAAAAAATGTATTGTCTGGAACTAGATTATTCAATGTAGCACTTATTACTACTGTATGTAGTATTTTAATTGCTTATTAGGTATTAAAAAGAAGACCTGATAAGATCAGGAGTCAGCAAATTACAGCCCATAGGCCACATCCAGACTTTCTTACATTTATACGGCAGCAAACTAAGAAAGGCTTTTACATTTTTAAACAGTTGAAAAAACAATTTCGTGACATGTGAAAAGTATATGAAACTGAGTTTCAGTGTTCACACCACTCTCATTCTTTCATGTATTATCTACCGCCGCTTTTGTGCTGCCACAAAAGTAGATTATTACAACAGAGACTCATGGCCTGCAACACTTAAAATAGTCACCATCTGGCCTTTTACAAAAAAATTTTGCAGACCCCTGGGCTAGATGATGGCTGAGGTCATTTTCCAGAACTGGACTGAGAACCCCCCCAGGGAGGGATCATGTCCATTCTCCAAAACCCTCCCACAGCCCACCAGAGCCTGGCGGAGCCCATGCACCTACAGGAGTCCAATCAACACTTGTTGAAAGCTTTAGTGAGCTGATGAACAACAGGAAATGCACACAAATACATGGAACATTATAAATGTTTTTAGAGACAGATCAGCTTCATATTCTCTGTACTTCTCTGTAACACATACAGACGCAAAGAAGACCTCAGAAAGCATGTAGTGCCAATTACTGAAAGAAATAGAAGTACACATGGATGGGGACACTCTCCCATTTAGCTAGTGTTCCTGTCCAAATATCCACTGTTTTCAAAAAAGTAAAGACTTCAGGGGCGGTGCAAAATGGAAGACAGACATTTGAAAAGAAAAAGAGCAAAACATGTGAATACGCTGATCCCTTTTCCCCTGGGTGTTTGCTTTCTCATTCACTCTGGGAACTCAGCACGGATAGAAACCCACACTTGGAGGCTTCTTCCACTCCCGGAGGCTTCAGTGAGCAGGAGCATTCACCACCACAAGGGGAAGGCTAGGAGTGCTTATCGCAAAAGACTGCTCGGACTCTTCTGCATGTCTAAGTTACACAGGCACAGGGCACAGAGATGCGCGCAGATTCGAATATAAGCATCCTCGACGGGTCCACAGGGACACATAGTAGAAATAAAGACCCATTAAAACCTAAACAGAAAATCACGTGTGTAGAGCATCGGGAGGAAGGGTGAAAATGCAGAGGCAGCACCACAGGTGCACTGATTTGAATGGGATGAGCGCCAGGACAGCAGCTGGGCAGCCAAGGGCAACGAGGTCCGAGCACCACCCACGCAACCCCAATTCCCAGAACAGCGCTGCGCGTGCAAGCCGAGGGACAGGAGCCCACCGGCCAGAGCTCCTCACGACTGCTCTACCCATCCCCCCTCTAGGCTTCTGTTTCTGATGCCACAAAACCTCTTTTCCCTGCTGCTCCTTTCCGTCCTCCCCGCCACCTCCTCTCAGAACGTTCATTTCCACGTCGCTCTCAGCTTTCCCCCCACTCGTTACCCAAGGGCCCCTCTTGCCTTTTTGTTTTAGCTCTTCTCGAACGCAGCTTTCTTGCACACTGTCCTTGGAAAAGGGGGGAGGGGAGCTTGGCGAACACGGGGAGGAGCCAGGTGGAGGCGACAGGGAGGGGACAGAGCAGAGGCTTGCGAGGAGGCCCGCAGAGAGGCTCCGCCTCCCCCGCTCGCCTTTCTCCTCCTCTCCTCCCTCCTCTGAGAAGCAGCTCGGATGTGACACCGCCTTGGTTTCTTCGCTCTTTCGGGACCCCTAATCTATCTTGGGAGTCATCAGCTCCTGTATCCCGTGGGGTCAGAAATTATTTAGTTTTCCACCTTGTCATCAGAGACAACTTTTTTCCTAGGCCGGACTCCCCGAGACTCCTTGCATTCAAGCATCCCCAGCAATTAACAAATAACCTCTCCCTCCGGCCCTATCCTTTGTCTCCCACCGTCAGTCACTCTGCACTAACACTTGTTGGAAGGCTGTGTACCGGGTTTTAGGTGCTGAGAGATGGAAAGATAAATGAAACAGGGTCCCTGCCCTTAAGGAACATTGATCCCTGGTATTTGCTATAGAGGGACCTCAAAAACTACTTTTACAGGTACAGTACCCTTCTCAGAGAAATACAGGAAAGCTAGGTAGGAATGGGAGTACCAAGAGGCAAGACCCCTGCCAGGATAACCGCGTCTCAAGTCTGCAGCAGCCAGCACACCTGTTGGGCTACAAAGCAGACAGAATGCACCCTGGGAACATTGGTCAGGTACTCCCAGGGCAGGAGGTACACCCTTTACTCAGGCCCTCTTTGCTCCTTCCTCTGCTCCACGCATGCCTTTGTTCCAGTGCTCTTCACAGTCAGCTCCTTGCTGCTTCTACTGCCTTTCTTCTTGCTGACTTTTGTTTCTGCCCCTGCACCCTCTGGCCACAAAAGATAGGAGATAAAACCATTTGACTACGCAAAATTAACTTTTGCACTGTAAATGTTAACATCAAAAAATTGAAAAGACAACCCATAGAATGAGAGAACAATTTTGCAAATCATATATCTGATAAGAGACTGATCGATATTAAGAATATATGATTAATACTTGCAACTCAGTAATAAAGAAATAAACCCAATTTAGAAATGAGCAAAAGATCTGAATAGGCAACTCTCACCAAAGAAGATATAGACATATCAAATAAGCCTATGAAATGGTACTCAACATTGTATGTCATTAGGGAACCATCAATTTGAAGTGAGATACCACTACCACCTATTAGAATGGCTGCAAAACAAATGAACAAACAAAAAACCTGGCAATACTAAATGCTGACAAGAATGTGAAGGGGCAACAGGAACTCTCATTCCTTGTTGGTGGAGAAGCAAAATGATGCAGTCACTTTAAAAGACAGCTTGGCGTTTTCTTACAAGGCTAAATATAGTCTTAGCACATGATCCAGTCATTACACTCCCAAGTGTTTAGCCAAATGAACTGAAAACTACACTCACATGAAATCCTTCACACAAATGTTTGTAGCAGCTTTATTCCTGATTGCAAAAACTGTAAGCAACCAAAATGTCCCTCAAAAGGTGAATGAAGAAACAAACTGTGGTGCATCCATACAATGAAATATTCCGCAATAAAAAGAGAAGATACAGAAAATCTGTCTAGGAATGGGAGTACCAAGAGGGAAGATCCCTGAAGTGGTATGACCCATTAAACCAAGAAAAGATATGGAGGAAATGTAAATACATATTGCTTACTAAAGGATCTGGTCTGAAAAGCTACATACTGTAAGATTCCAACTATATAACATGCTGAAATGGGCAAAATTGTAGAGAGTGAAAAGACTGGTGGTGGCCAAGGGCCTGGAGGAGAGAGGGAGGGACGAATCGGTGCAGCACAAGGGATTTAATTTAGGGCAGTGAAACTGCTCTGTGTGATACTATCCT